AGCTGCTTGTTATTATGTGGCATATACAGATACAAATGTCAAAGACAAATCTATATTAAGTTTTCCATGGTTATTTACTTCTCAACTTCTTGCCGATTATTCTGTTGTTTCTGAAGATGAAGCAGAAATAAATGATTTTATGGACAATACATTTAATTCTGACTTCAATTTATATCATTACATCAAACAACAATTGCCATCATTATTAAATCTACTTTCAAATGACAATCAATTCACCTTTATGGAACTCTTAGAGACATGCTTTCAAAATGTTTGTGCTACTAATAATGAACAGATGATTGAACATGCCGAAATACTTCTTGAACGATTGATTACAATTGCAAAAACTATACATTCGAACTAATACTTACCTATAGAGTCTTCTTTAACAAACATATTTATTCATTAAGTCAAGATTTTTACATAATCTATATTTCAGTTGTTCGTGTCTCTTTATAGTTCAAAACAAATATATTTTTTTTCGTCATATATTACTATTACTAATTACATTCGAATCAATTTTAATCATTTAATTGTAGTCATTCTTTATGTTCAATACGAATGACATTAACATGACATATGTGCAAAAAAAAGTGAATGACATATAATACAATGCAATATCTATACTCTATGCCTTATTCCATACTGATTGAAAATCGATTTTGGTAAATGACTCAAATATTGTTATTATTATTGTTATCTTAGTTGTAAGTACTTATGTTTTTATTATTCTAAAGCAAATTTTTATTACACAAATATGTAAGTTTAATTCTTTTTTTAATGCATACATGTTAATAAATTCCTATAATCTATGTCTGTCTAAATATATTTAGTTGACATTGATATACGCATTATATTGGTTACAATTTGTCTGCAAACTATCACGTAACATTAGTTAATGGCAGGCTATCGATATCCAACAGCTACAGACATCGAAGCTTTTTTTTTGTGCATGAAATTCATAATCAGTATATTGAATATATTCAATGTTAAAAGATTTTCATTTTCTTTCAGAATTCTTTCGTAGATTGAACAAAATCTTTATCAACACAAGCTAGACACTACTTCACTACAGCAATGAAATTATACGGCATTGCAAATATCAAATGTTGCTTTGTTGGATTCAGATGACTTTATTTTGCTTTAGTACATAATTTAGAAATAATTGTCATTCAATATTTTCTTCAATAAAAAAAACTCTATGGTTTTCGAATTGATAGGAAAATAATTCATTAATAATGAAATCTTATTTATGTTTTCGTCAAAATAAATCTATGATAAAGTAAAAGATGTATAAAGTAATTGTAAAAAGAATACAAATGATTCTGAACGTGCAATAAATTATAATCTTGTTCTCTTGGACTTTATTTGGCATTTTAATCAAGTTCACAGCATGTTGATGTTCTTTTTTGACAAAAAGAAAACAAACACAGTAAAATGTCTCTCTGAGAGCGCATGTTTTATAGTCGTATGAATAATAACAACCTCCATAATGTGAGTAACGTATTATGATCTGTCATTGAAGTACAGAACGAAAAAAACAGTGATGCTTTCTGTATTGCGTCATGATAAACAATTACAGAACATAGAGTAGTTACCAAAATAATTCAACAAGATTTATTTTCAATTTTCTTCCATTGCTAGAAAAGTTCGAATAAGAGATTCGAATAGAGAATATTTTTTACAACAGGAATAGAAGGAAATAAAATATACTTTCTAGTTTTCAAAGACGCGTGTCAGAGAAGAGTAGCTTTACATTCACACTTTGTTTAAAGCATACTTGAAAGTTAGTTTAGAAAAGATTAGTTTTATACTGTAAAAAAGTTGTGATTTTCGAAACATAGATGATTATTTGAACAAAGAAATTAATGAAAACAAGAATAAGATCATCTCGTGTAGTCGAAAAGCGATTGCAAGTGAATAGTTATCATTTGAAAAACAAACACCTGAAAACCTTTTAATGATGTTCACATGCGTAAATTGAGTACTTCTGATCAGACTCCATGTTACTCGCGTTAAAGAGGTTTTATTGTAAGAGTTCTGTTTTTTTTGCATTCCAGTATAATTTTGAAATAATGGTAAATCTATAAATTATTGCTTTGTTAAATACGTTATAATTAACAATTCCTTATAATCTGCGATGCATAACTATCAGCACAAATGTCAAGGTCTGTTGTGTTCGAATGGAAAATGTTACAAGGTTAACTTTTTCATTCACAAATAGAGCAAAGTATGTACGTTCAAATACATATGTAAAATGAAACTTAGAGTATGCTTCAAGATATTAGGTTTTTTTTCAAATTATTAAAATGGCTTGTTATCAAAGTAAAAATCAGGAATTCTTTCAGATCTTGATCATATGTTTATTTTAATGCTTTCAAATGACATATAAATGTTGAGTAGCTATATTAGTTTTAATTGGAGAAATATTCAAGTCGCAAGTCTAGTATCCGTCCGAATCATTAAAACTTCTAATTACGTCGAAATTAGCGCCAAGTACTATTTTGTATGCATTCTTTACTCCATCATTTACGAACTCGATAGAATATATTTTCTTCATGTTTCATCTATATTCTTGTATGCCATGAAAGTTGGCATATAGATGGATTTCTTTGAAAACTTATGTTCTGATAAATGTTTAAAACGTTCATCAAAAACCTTGCAATATACTGATTCGACTTTTAAAACTGGTTTTTAGCTACCTTGAATATGTAGTAAAATATGAAATCGATTTTCACAAAATCTTGAGCCTACAGCCTTCTTTTTCCATGTTTGAATTCCTTATCTTCACCTTTAAACAATGTAATGCTAGTTAAATCAAGAAAAAGCGAACAAATATCTATTTTGGTAACAACTCATTTTTAGTAATTTCCCAAAATTTAATTTGTTCAACTACTTGCTGAGTTTTATTTTAAACATGAATTTAAAAGTAAATACTTTGCTTTATTGTGATTGAAAAAGTTAGACTTCCTGCGTTTCTCGTTCAATCACAATATGCTGTTGGATTATTATTGTTTGCAAAATTCGATTCATGACTTTTTATCATTCTTGTTATCTATGTTAATGGAGAAAGATAAAAGAAATACAATCTTGTTTCCATTGTAATCGTCATCTTTTGATGTAAAA